CACACATGTTTACGTGGAACGTGTTGAGTTTTACATTACTAAGCTAACTCTAAGCTCACGCCCCTTGATAAGTTGTAAAGGTAAAAAGGCAATTGCATTTTTATTTAATTATACTCTAACCAAACTCGTGTCTTTTAACTAATTGCCAGGTTTAGTTAACAAATGAATTCTTTTTGAAATAAGTATATATATTATAATTATATACATCTTGGCGTTCACATTAAATGTAATTAAAACTAATTTAGAATGTAAAAGAAACTGCAATTAGCAGAAGTGATCTTAACATCACACGTATGTACATATACTAAAATATACTTCAATTACATTAATCTGTTAACTTACATGAATGTAAGAGGAAAGCTGCACTGTTATTTACATAAGTCTATATGTTAAGCTATATACATACGGGCTAGTATTGTAGCTGTGCTACAACTAACATAATCAACTGTTATACGGTTGTACCATAACAGACTTCAAGTTTATGTTAACTTACATTTCAGACTAATGTCAAACTAACATTTGTGTAAACTGCTGGAACTAACATAAATGTTCATTTGATATGAAATAAGCGATAATTATTTTAATTCAATATATTATAAAGAGTACTTCAGAATTCCACTTTCAATACAGTTAGCCCTGTTATTCAGTAAAGAGCGGAGATTTGCCTTTTCAAGCCAGACAGACAGCTGATGCGCTATCGATTACAGTCTCTGCTAAGCCAGTCGCCCCGGAGCTCACATGAGGGACAACCGATGGCAAACGTCAATTAGACATTTTTGCCTTTTACCATTTACCATTCGCCATTTGGCAAAGGGAACTTCATTAATCGCTTTTATTTCCTTCAACTGCCAGACTGTCGGTCTGTCAGTCAAGCTGGCTTATGCACCAGCTGTCGTCAGCATCAATCCGTTTTAGCTAATACACATATTGATGTGGATGTTATAAAATATATATGCGTTTCATTAGATACACCCGCCCACACACGCACACAGACGAGCGTCTGGCTAGTAGCAAATGAAACACATGTTTCATGACACGTCAAAACCGAATTTAAGAACTGAACTAAGATCGCGCCACAACACAAAACTGAAAGCACGGCAATCATTTTTTTTATGGCCAAACATTTTACGCTGACTGTAAGTACATATTGAAATCATATTATGTACATATGTCTGAGTGTGCGTGCGTCTGTGTGTTTGATAAGCAGCCAACGACCGTCTTATTGTGGCCATTAAATTCACACACACACGAACAAAGCATTTGACTGCCTTGGAAAGGGGGCGTGGCGCATTATGTTTGATTTTTATATGCAACGATTTAGTATAGGTTTAATCAGGCTCTTTCGATTTTACAACGCACTTGCGCACTTTTAGTGTGATTGATTGACATTGGCCGAACGCTTCGCTTTTAGACTAAATTAAAGCTTTATATGTACGCGAGCAGCAGTTTGAAACTGCCTTTCAGATACATCTAATGTTATATAGAGAAATATTTCAATTCAATAAACAAACTTCAGTTTGCAGTCCGGAATTTCAGAGCTGTAGCCATATCTTGTTATACATTCAGAATTGTTGTTAAATTGATTCTGTAATGCAGGAACTTTTGCACTAAGTGCTGGACTTCAGCTCAGTTGGTCAACGAGCTTATCAGGAGCAGCAACATCAGCAGCCGTCGCATTGTGAGGCGCATAACTGATGGCATTCTAAAGCTCAAACAAACTCGCAACAGCAGAAAAAAATAGAAATATGATCACAATTGTAAAGTTGGCATTCTAAAGAATCAACTTGCTCGGGCTGCACTCCCCGCTGTGTTCGCGCGGAGTTCGGGGCCATTTGCCTTTCGCAGCAACCAGACAGCAAACAACAAAATACAATTTAGTTGTAAAAAAGTTTAGCACTAACTCGCTGGCAAACTTGTTTACAGAGGCAGTGCAGGAAGGGGCATTTCCTCGTAGCTACGCTGGGCTTTCGTTTCAAGAACTCCCACAACGAGTGCAAACTTTTTCTGACTTCGTCTGCAAGTCCGACGATTGCCGTTCGCAATTCCAGCTGCAGTTCTCATGCATAATGCATCAAATGTGCTGCTGGCGCCCGAGCAGGGACCATCAACTATATCACTTACCGTTCAGTCACCAGCACCGTGATTCCATATACACCAACTGTCACTGTTTAGGGAGCACAGATACCAACTACTACCAGCAGTCTGTCTCTGTGTGTGTGAGTATGAGCTTGCATGTCTGAATACAAGCATTCAAGGCATTTCTTTATATTTTTTTGTTTTGTTTTATGCTAAGTTCCGTCTAACGCAAGCCGTGCATTCAGCTTATTTACTCACATCACGCCTCCACACATCATGTCGGCCCACATGCCAGCGGGTAATTAGGATCTGGGTATCGCAGTGTGTGCCACTACCAAATACGGCCCGACTGAATAATTCATAAATTAAAGGCCTCTCGGACAAGTCTGAAATTGCGTTCATATGCTTAGTTCATTCGGCCTGCCTTCAAAGCCAACCGCAAACAGGGCCAAAATGCAAATAACAACAACAAGACCTTTTCATTTGTATATGTATGTATTTAGATTTTAAGTAAGAGAAACTCAGATAAAACAGAACGTAGCCAGCAACATATATTAAGGAACATGTTTGCATAGGCAAAGACGTATGCTAAATTCTGGTTGATTTCTTAAGGGCTAGAAAACAGCTTCCGAGTAGCTTCATGTGAAAGGATTTTATTTTTGCTATGTATTTGGGTACTTAATTATTTTTTATCGATATACATAATAATACAAAGCCTTTTCATACTATAATTAAATTACAGAAAAACTATGTTAATGACAACTGATGTATAGATCAGATATACGAAAAGTCAAATATCAGGTTTTTGCCTATTAACATTATAGTCTTGTGTATGAAAGGGTATACAAATAAAGGCTTATAGCTTATGCCCTCTAACGCAACAATATCCATTAGCAGCATTTAGTAATACTTTGAAACTCTGGCAAGAAATTCAAATTTTATAGACTTAATAGAATTTATATCAACATTATCTGCTGCTGCTGCTGCTGCTGCTGCTGCTGCCGTAAAGAATCTTTTAATCAAATAGAATTTCAATGCCAGCGTTATTTATACATTTTACGATTGGCCATTTCAGTTCAAGTCCCAGACACAGGCAGTTAGCCCGTAATGTGCTTGCCATAAAAATTATAAATAAATAAGCCCAATGTAAATTATTCTGCATCAAGGCGTCATATTTATGGGGGAGTCGGCCTTATCATAGCCAACGGCTGTTGACCATTTATCAAGCCATTTATCCGACTATTGCAATTGGCTATTTGTGTGCATAATACAGTTGTTGCTGTTGCTTATAGCGAGCAGCCTCTTTCGTAGACCACCTGGTCCAAAGGATTGGCACGTTTCGTAAACTTGACTTATCTATTGCAACTTTTTGACAGGCAGCCAGGGCTCACCTCCCTATTTAACTTAAGAAGGTAAAAGGAAATAAAATATAAAACGAAAGGCTATAGCAAAGAAGTTTTTTTTTAAATTTCAAGTTTCGTAAAGGGCTTATGAACGAAAAATACTGAACAAAAACTGAGTTTATATTATTTCATTTTTATTTTATTATTATATTAATTTATTTACTTATTATTATAAAAAATAATGTAATTTACTTTAATTTCAATTAAAAAATTAAAACTATGTTGATATCATTTTTAATTTATTATTTTGAAGTAAAAAAGCTATTAAAACTTTAAATTATAAAACAAATACTTAATTTAATTTATTTCGTCTTTACTTAAGGCACATCTTGAGTAAGAGTAACGTTAATCATGAGATACTATTTTTACTGTGCTTTGAATACCTGTTTAACTTGATGATAGAAACAAATATTAAATATTTTCTTTCTACCTCCATCAAACTTCGAAGTTTTTCCTAATGCTTTCAGAGAAATGCTTCACATTTTGTTTTGTTAAAGAGTTTCTATGAAATTAATGAAAAATAAAAAGCTTTTATAAATGCGAGCCATAAGAATATATTCTGAGTATATTTACTTCATGGAAGTCGCTTCAATATTCAACAATTTATATTTTATTTACTTGCTTCAGTTTTATTAAATTTGATTTAATTGGCGTATGCTCTCCAGTCCTTCTACCGTTAAATGTTGTTGGCTTTTATTGGCACTGCTGCAGCACAGTTGCACACGATGTGTGCGATGTACGGTAAACAGTTGAAGCAGTGGAAATTACTTTTGCACTCACTGTTGACTTAATACCTGAGCATCTATGAAAGTATTCGTACGGCAGACCAGCTGCCAACGTTGACTTTGACTTTGAAGCGCAACAAATAAAATTTGCCAGCACAAAAAGCATACGAAACTCATGCCAAATGTAGTCTGCTTCGCTCAGCTGCTGGTCCATCAGCCAGGACCCATCCTGCACGCGCTCCGCTGTATGCTACTGCAAATTCCATAAAAATCATGCAGGTTCCTAACTGAGTTTTATTGGGAAGCGCTTTGTGAGAAAATAGATTGCATCATCGAAATATTTCTTCTCAATTTTCCTTTTTCCTCTTTGCTTGCTGTGGTGAGCATTTTCATTTTCTCCATGCCGCCGTCAAATGATGAGATGGCAAAATACTCTCGACATTTCTCTCACTAAATTATTTATGCTGCTGCCTTTTCCAATTCTCATAAAATATGAAAAAATTGACTTTGAGTGACATTTATCTGTGGAGTGCATTAGCTGAAAACACTTTTCGATATTTTGCATATCACTTGAGAATGTGGTTCTGTCATTGATGAAATGTGGCTTCATTGAATATACATAGGAGTATATAGCCTGGCAGCAGGTAACTAGCTCTATTACCGACTACATAAGGATGCGTAAGAGCTCTATATATATGGAAATAGCTGGGTGGGCGAGGAGTGGACAGATCAGGATTGCAGGTAGAGGCACACTCAAATCAAGCATTCAACTATTCTACATGCATAGGATACTCACCCTGCCTCAGTTACATCGCCTGCTGGCCTCTCCATCAGAGCCAACGACAACAATGTCCAATTCAGGCAGCTCAGCTGAGTCCTGGAACATGCACTCGCTCGTCTCCAGGATGCTGATGCCCGTCGTATTGTCGGAGCTGACAAATGGAGTCTCGCTGAAGCGCACCTCCACTGTCTGCTCGTCGCCGGAGTCGATGTAGTCGCCATCTTCGTCAGTGCGCCGGCGAATGCGGCGGGTTAGCTCGACTTGCTGCTGTTGCTGCTGCTGGGGCTGTGCCTGGCAGCCGTGCAGCAGGGCAGCGTTGATGCCACGTCCACTGAGTATTGGGGAGACGGCACCGTTGCCATTGCCGTAGGTGGGCTCGCGCGGTATGATGAGCAGCTTCTCCTTGGGCAGGCAGGTCTCCTGAGTGACGCCATTATCGTCCGGATCATCGGCATCCAGACTGCCGCCGGGGCCGCCCTCCCCGTTGCCATGATGCAGACGCGGGCCGCAGGTGTTGCGATCGCTGCGATTGTAGCCGCGGGTAATGTTGATGATGTTGTTGTTGGAGGGATTAAAGCAGGGCAGCACATGCTTAAACTCCTTGCGGAAGTTCTCGTTCAGCCAGGCGTACAGGAAGGGATTGTAGCACGTGGAGCTCATGGCAATCGAGTGTGCCACAAAGAAGAAGAGCATATAGAGACGCCACTCATTGGACTTATCGTCGAAGTCATCAAAGATGTTCACCAAATTGATGGGCAGCCAACTGAGGCCAAAAACTGCCACCATTGCGATAAGCATGCGGTTTGTGCGCTTCTTGCGATCCCGATCCGCCTCCTCGCGGCGCGAAGACTTCGAGCCCGGCTTGGCCCTGGCGCGCTGATTCAGCTTGACCGAGATCCAGACATAGCAAATGGATATGATGAAGAAAGGCAGCACAAACTGCAGCGTCGTGGTGATGGCTCCGAACACCTTGCGGTAGTGCTCCGAAGGCCAGTTCTCCTCGCAGACGGTGACGCCATCTGTGATCACCTGCATGTAGGCCTGGGCAGCCGACGTGGCATCGGGTGTAGGATAGCCGTAATGGGGATTCAAGCTGCTCGTCTCGTTCACACCGATCAGCTGTGTGGTGTTATCCATCACCTCGTTGGTCATCTTCATGTACATGCCGTAGGGCACTGTGGCCAGCAGAGCAATCACCCAAATGCTGACAATGATGCCGATGCATGTGGAGAGTTTCATGCGCGGATGAAACGGATAAATGATCACGAAATATCGATCAATGGCAATCGAGGTAAGCGTCAGCGTCGATATATATATGCTGCAACCCTGGGCAAACGACACCAGATGGCAGAGCGTACGGCCAAAGGCCCACCGGCCCATAAATGTGTAGAGCGGCGTAAACGGCACGGCCAGCACACAAAGCAGAATGTCCGAAAGGGCCAGGTTGGTAATGAATATATTGGTAACCGTTTGCATGGCGCGATTCCTCAGCACCACGTAGCAGACCAGCACGTTGCCAAACACGCCCAGCACAAACACCGTGGTATAGAGCACATAGAAGAAGATCTGCACGAATTGATTGTGTATAATGCCTGATTTATCGCCATCCACGGCATCCACATCCACATTTAAGCTGCCAACGGTGCTGCTGCTGCTGGCGGTGCTGCTGCCGGGGAAGGTGATGGTGGCTGTGGTGGCACTGGTGCTGGTGCTGCCGGGCGTGGCAAGAGTGGTGGTGCTGCTGCCACTCCAATTCATGCCCAGCACATGGGGCAACTGTGTACTGACCGAGACCAGCCAAGCGTTAACCGTCTCATTGCTTACATTGGCCATGCTTAAGGACTTTGTTTGGATACCTAATGAGTCGCTTTCAGTTGGCGATTGAGATTAAGGGCGGGGCAGCTGTAGCTGTGACGATGGCTGCGGCTGAGTGGATTGCTGTTGCTGTTGAATCCTGTCCGGTTTTACCGGAAGTGCGCCACTTAAGCAGCCATTTCCGTCGTCTGGGCTGGGTCACGTTTCGAGTTTATCTCAATCTTTAATGCCTTTTAACGTGTATTCAAAAAGTTTGCCTTAATATTTGGCTCATTGCTAATTGCTTCAATGCTAAAAAGAAAGAAGAATTAAAGAAAAATCAGTATACAGCTTGCATTAGATTTGTACAAATGTAAAAGTTTGCTCAACCGGAATTGCTTCTTAGTTGGAATTTGAAACTAAGTTTTCTTTCTTCTTCTTCCCCCCACACTGCGTTTATAGCTATTGTCCCGAAGGATTAAGAGTCGTCCCCTTGGCTGCCATCCACTTAGTTGCTGTCTCACTTGCACACATATATACTCTGTTCCTGTCAGGCCATAGCTGTCGGGTCTGACGCTGGCTTTATTAAAAACAATGTGGCAGCAAAATGCGCCAAGGCGAAAACAAAACTCTGCCATCAGAATTCAAGTTTTGTATTGTCTAAGGGCAGTTTATATAACTAGAGTTTGAAAGGTCACTGCGATAACGACACCAGCTCTGACACCTTGGCTGCTCATTGAAGATGATATACAACAAGGATAGATGACATGATGCAGCTAACAAAATTCTGATTCTACATTGAAATTATTTTGCTCTAAAAATGAAAGCAAAGATTTATTTTGTGCATTCAATATTATATGTTGAATGGGGACAAATATTGAATTTTGTTTGCTGCTGTTAAATAATAAATGCAAGAGAATTTATTGTTTTATAAAATAAATTAAAATTGACTTGGCTTATGGTTGTGCTTAATGCCTCTTTTTGATATAAAATAAAAGAACTAAGATTTTTAATTGGACCTTCGCGTGTTCTGTACAAAATATAATAAATAAATATTTGTGTATGCAAAAAAAAAAATTGAACTTAAAGTTATTACGAAATGCTCAGTATTTGTGGTTAGAGTTTGTCAACGATGTAGACCAAGTTATTCGTTCTTGGTAATTGGATATCTAAAAAAGTATATATTTCAAACTAAATGGTTTTATTCTTAAAATCAAATATTGAATTTAGTAAATATTGAATTTGAATTTTTTTTTTTTTAATTTGCCATTGGCAGTAATAAAAAATTTGAATTTTTGGCTTAAACACATTTGAATGCGGGTTAATTTTTTTGTCTATTAAATGCATAAAAACGTATTTCTGCTTATTTTTACACATTCTGATATTTTAATTTCCTGCTAAAACAAACAATTCTTTTTCTGTATAATATTCTAAAAAGAAATTCTATTTAATTTTCTTGGCCATTTGATAACTTTGTGGAACTCATGTGAGTTGGCTGCAAACGAAGCTGTGATTAATTTCGTGCTATCAATGAACGGAACCTCTCGGAGAACTTTAGCAGTTTGACAAGTGCATACATGAAAATCCAAGGTTTTTAATCTTGATTAGATCTAGTGCTTCAGCTGGCAGCACGTGCTCTATGTACATGTGAACTTAATTGGTTTTGGTTTACCAATTTCTGCTTAAAGCTCTTCAATGTTCAGATCTAGATGTCTGCACAGCCAACAGCATTTTAATACGGCTTACGCACCTGAAAGGAATGCATTGTTCGCACAACACATAGCTTACCCCAGTGCATAATGTAGAGCAAGCAGCGAAGCTAATTTCACATAGAAATAGTACATTTTACTGCTCTCAAGTTCATTTGCATACAGTGCAGCTTTGGGCTTATGCTGAATACTCAGACTTATTCCATGGAAGGAAGGAAGGATACATCATACAGAAAGATATTCTTAATCTCCTTCAGCATGAAGAGCAATTGGTAATAGGAGAGATCTACCCGACATATGATAAGTCTAAGTCAACTGTATCATATAGCAGGCACTATCAAATCTTTAGCTTTAGTCAATTTGAGTTCATATAGCAACAACTCCATTTCTATTCCTAGAAATGAGTTGTCTCGCAGCAAACTCTTCGAAAACACTTCTAGTGCTCTCTCCACAATTGCATATTCTGCGTGGTATGCCAGGGCAAGCCACTTTGATTAAACTTTCCGTCTATGCTTTTTCGTAGAATTTGTGCTCAAATATTGAAAAATACCTTTTTGCAAATCAAAGCGCACAGTCGTGGGCTAAGAAAGCGAGAGAATGTCAAAAATGGTTGAGCACCGCGGGCGTAGAAAAATATAATAACTTTCATAAATTAATAGACGGAAGTGCGCTAAAACGCTGGCCCGGCAGCCGGGGCAGGTTGGCAACAAACGGCCGCAGGATAGGTTGCTGCACAAAACGAACTGCGACGGCCGGAAATTCCATAAAAAATGGCAGTTAAGAATTTTATATTAACACATTTACCCGACAAGGGGCCCATAGCCCACAACAAAGGCGGTAACTACTCAAGCCGTAAACATCATCGAAATCATTATCATTATCAGGCAGCAGCAGCTCATCATCAGCATCGTCATTATTGTCTCCATCGTCATCGTTGTCATCGTCCTTATCCCGCACATTATCTTTACTAACAAGGCAGCACAAAGCAGCTTGAGTGTGTCATCCTGTCGATTCTCTCCAACTGTCCGACTGCCCGACTGCCCGACAGCCCAACAGCACGTCAGACCGACAGACGGTCTGAGACGCCGTAAGCTGCGCCACTTGGTAATTTTAATTTTGATGCATTTGTCACCATTTTTTCAGAACGATTTATCTTCCAGATGAAGCTGCGCCGTAATGAAACAAGGCATTGGTGTCACAGCCAACCGCTTACTTTAATGGGATTTGCTTTGCTGTTTGTCCTTTCTTCTATTTTATATAGGTGAAGCATTGCGTCGCATGGCTGACAGCGACTTCTCCCTCTGGTAATACTTATAACAGCATGTATTGCCTACTTATAGGCGTACGTGAAGCTTTTATGGATTTTTCTTATTGGCCTATCAAAGGAGAAGGGTCTGCTCTACGTGGCTGACCCTTTGGAGTAGATGGCATCCAATGGAATGGGACTTAACTTTATTCTCTTTTCACTTCTACTTTTTCAACTTTCTCACACTGCCACACACTTTGTCAAACACTTTGTTTTATTGCTTTATTTGACAGAGCTATCTAGATGCTGCTAGGCAAAGAAATTTTCAATGAAATTTTTATTTTATTATGCGAACTCGCGAATTTTTACACAATATCATTAATTTAAAAGTAAAAATATATGATACAAACTTATTGACACCTGATTCTCTTAAAACACTGAAATCTTTCAAATTGTATTCTGCAGAAATATAAGCAGCTGAAAGAGCTAAGCGGACGAAGGGCTTAAACTAGTTGAGTGAAAGATCTAACCGCCTTCAAATTGTGATGAACAAGCCAAGTCTCAATATATAGTTTATATATCGGTAGATGAATATATATATATTTAAAGGTATTGAAAAAATAATATGAGCTTGATATACGCCTTGAAAATGGCAAAATACATTTTCAACTCTTTGTTTCTAGTTTTCTTTTGAATGTAACTCAAGTATATGGACCTCATTTAGCTTAATTTACAAATATTAAAAAAAACTGATTATTAATTTTCAGAGCATATAAATATAAAAAAAAGTAATTTAACTATATATATGCACACTCAAGTAAAATGATATTAATTTTGTTCAATTAAATAGCTTAAGCACTCAACATTATTGTTTATTCAAATATTCTCGTTTCTTAGCAATTTTCTGCCACTTCATTTCCATTTGTTATATGAGATATGTTTAAAAGAAAAGAAGTAATATAGCCACAGCAGCACAGGCAGAAGAGAGCCTTAACTACTTTTTAAGCCATTTCTCACACAGAGTAAACTATGCCATTAACTTGGCCATAAATTTCACTAATGATGGCAGTAGCCCAATAGCCCAGTCCAAAGTTTTCAGCTTCTACGAATGATCTATGTTCAGCTGGCTCTTGATGCTGATGATGATGATGATGATAATTATAATGATGGGCAGCACACGCCTTTTAACATTTTCTACTAATTAACTTGGCTATTTTTATGATAATCAATTACAAAGTTTCTGATAGAAAGTTTCGGTTTAGTTTTGTTGGTTTTTGCATTGAAAACTTTTGGCACGCATCAAAGAAATTACTGAACGGTTGATGGATGAATGGGCAAACGTATAGATGGACAATCGAGAGACGGAATTGTAAACATGTGTTTAATGTCAGTGTCAAGGCATACCACATCGTTTCTCATCGCAACACAATGTCTCGTCTCGCATCGAATCGAAATCGAAAATTTAATTAAAATTCAGAACGGCAACCACTTAAAATTGTTGCCCCATTCCGCTCGAGTGACCCAGCAGCGAAGACCACTTTGCAAATTGTTGAAATTTCGAACATTATTCATATGTGAATATCTATTCATATGCACACATACTCACTACCAGACAGACAGACCATCATATATAATTGTGGGAACTGCGACGGGAATATTTATTTGCTGATTTATATGCTCAACAACTAATTAGAGAATTTATTTCCATTTAAGAATTTATTTCCAATGCACTCGCACTCGCAGTCGCATTCACAATGAGGCCAAGTCGTTAAACATTTGAGTCACTCAGTATTTGCATTTAATTTTTATGATATATATACCTCATTAATTGTGCACAAAATGGCAACGCATTCGAATAAAACAATCAAAATAAATATAATGAATGGCAGCTGAGCTACGAACAGAACATACCCTAGATAAATGTATGTAAAAAAGAGTATATAGATATATATCTAATGTATGCATAAAATAGTATGCTGAGAGCTGTAAAGTTTATTGTGTAAGAATTGTGTATTCCCAACAAGCGAGAAACAAAACTTAAATCTCTTTGTCCTTGGTAGATGAGTTATCTAAGTGACCCAGTTATTTATGTAACTATGAGTGGTTGGTTGATTGATTGAGGCTTAGACTGACAGATGGATAAAGTATTGTTTTTTAATGGTTGATAGGGAATTTCGCTGCGGTTATTTAAAAAAAGAAACTATTTTAATTGCTGAACTTTTTATGGCGAAAACTTTCAACAATAAAACAAAAATAAAAAGTAAATAAAATAACACAAACAAAATTTACAATTTTATCTTGTGTTTTTACATGAAAATTAATAATAAATAATAACAAACCCCAAAAAAAAATAGTAA